ATAAATAATTTTAATTAATTAAAATGAATTGAATCACAGCTTCACAAAGAATATTTCCCAACTAAAATACCATTTCTAGCTTTCCAAATTTTCTATTTCAACCCAATATTTTCACCACCTTTTTTCCATTGCCTTTTACCATTACTTTCACAAAAACACGATTATCAACAAAGGAAAGTAGCAAAAATTTCTCGTTCTCTAACGAGAAACCGAATTACTCCCGCTTTACGTAACAAAGTACCCGAAAGTATCATCAGGCCCTCTCGTTGCCTCTTAAAATGTATCGCACGAATGAACAAAAGGGGTCACAGGTTGCTGAACGGGTAGCACGCTTTCGAGGAAGATCGTCGGACGGCACCGCTGATCGACCGATATTCAAATTCGCGCAGTATCCCTCTGGTGGAATGCAGGCCACTCTGCCTTGCCGAGGATGCAGCTCGTGCGTGTGACTGCTTACAAGATGTACAATGTCACCCCTCGGCCTCTATAGTGGAGTCGGTGCCATTATTCCGGCCACACCGAAATTGGAACGGCCAAACTCCGATTTAAGATCACGCTATATCACTTCTTCGATGAAAGGACGCCATTGGAGCTCGCGCTCAGCCCCAAAGGATCAACCTCTGATCACCCGACAATTTATCAGCTCGCGGTTTTGGGTCGTCGCATTTCGTTGTTCGTTCGTTGGATCGCTATCAAACGATGATGGACGTGGTTGCCAGGTTGTAACTTGGTTGCAAACCGCCATTAAAATTCTCTGGGCCCGGCGAGGAACGAGATCGAGCACTGGCCTGGTGTTAGGTCAGTTAGAAGTCTGACAAACCGGCCGCATCGTAGCGACGCGTTAAGCGCCATACTCGATGCCGAGCCGTTTCTTTTAAGTGCCCTGCACAGAGCAATGAAGGTGGATTAGCATTACGCGCATATTGTCGACCGCGAAAACGTACGATCGTACGTTGGCATTTTCGACGGCTGCGGGATCACGACCGGTTCAATGGGTCGCTGATTCCGTGCTGATCTCTGTTTACGAAGCACTATCTTTCTCGTTCTTTTGCGATCTAGAGTGGTCTATGGCTCACCCGCGTTGCCTCGCTCCGCAGGATTTCACTTTCACAATGGTAATCTCATTTTATTGTCATTGAGATATTACAGCCGGCATTGCGGCTAATATCGTGTTTTCGTTTCGGTTCTAGGATGACGTTCATTGTCCTCGAAATATGCATCGGGGGACCATGTACTTTGGATACTTATTTCGGTAGAACAACGTGCCAAGTATGCAACTATACCTCGAATTCCGTTCTTACTCCTAGTTACCCATCGTTGCTACTACTTTTCCAGCAATATTTCTTATTTTTTATCGTTGTTCTTGTAATTTGGAATCGTTTTGTTATTATTTCCATCGTGTACTCTTTCAAGAATGGTTTCTGTTATTTCTAGTTAGTTTTCTTTTTGCAATTTATTATTGCTATTTACTACTATCGAGATTGCTATTATTCTCACTATTTGGTGTTATTATTTATTTCTCTTTTACTATCAAATATTGTTACTTGTTATTATTCTTACATTTCCTATCGTTACTTATTATTATCTTCTGCAACAGTATTATTATAATACGTCATAATGATTTTACGAATTATCGTTAATAGAACTTATCATTATTTACTATTACTTTATATGACATTGCCAGATTTTATTATATAATATTATTATCGTTGCCATTATTTAACGGTATCATTATCTCTGGTGATTTTCAAAACTTATTTCTGTTAGTTGCTATTATATCTACTATTTGATGTTATTTATTTCTCTTTTTACTATTTGGTGTTATTATTTATTTCTCTTTTACTATCAAATATTGTTACTTGTTATTATTCTTACATTTCCTATCGTTACTTATTATTATCTTCTGCAACAGTATTATTATAATACGTCATAATGATTTTACGAATTATCGTTAATAGAACTTATCATTATTTACTATTACTTTATATGACATTGCCAGATTTTATTATATAATATTATTATCGTTGCCATTATTTAACGGTATCATTATCCCTGGTGATTTCCAAAATTTATTTCTGTTAGTTGCTATTATATCTACTATTTGATGTTATTTATTTCTCTTTTATTATCCAATATTGTTACTTATTATTATTCTTACATTTCTTATCAATAATAATTATTATCTTCTGCAAGAGTATTATTATAATACGTAATAGTGATTTTACGAATTATCGTTGGTAGAACTTATTATTATTTATTATTACTTTACGTAACATTGTCAGACTACTATATAATATTATTATCGTTGCCATTATTTAACATTATCATTACATCTGATAATTTCCAAAATTTCTGTTACTATTATTCTTGCTATTTGGTGTTATTATTTGTTTCTCTTATACTACCAAATATTATTACTTGTTATTATTCTTACATTTCCTATTATTATTATCATCTTCTGCAACAGTATTGTTATACGACTTATCGTTAGTTATAATTATTTTTACAGTTTATCATTATTTGCTGTTACTTTATATGACATTGCCAGATTTTACTATATAATATTATTATCGTTGCCATTATTTAACGTTATCATAACCTCCGATAATTTCCACCATTTATTCCTGTCAGTTATCATTCTCTCAATTATTTTGCTACATCCATCCACATCACTCTGCATCCCATCTAAAAACCCTCATGCGCAAACAGCAAATACCTCCAAACTGGCAATACCATTCCCAATCTAAGATCAACCAGTCCCGAAACCCAAGATCCCGCAATGCAGCAACGAGCCAGCAGCCAAACTTCGCGACATTCTCGCACGTTGCCCGTTCACGTTGACCAGCGTTACGCAACAACGAGCACACCTAGCACCGAGAAACCTCTGGCGACCGATAGGAGGAGAAAAAGGGAAACAAGAGCTCGTGGAACAGTGGAAAAAATACAGCATGAAAGAAAACGGTGCACCGAGATCACGATTCAGTCCCTAATTGTTCGATCGCGTCCCATGCTGAGATCGTAGTTGCCGGCTAACTAGAGCGGCCGACCTGGTTACGATGCAGGGGTAAAATTCGCTAACCGGTAAAAACGAGCTGATTAGAAAGCGGCAAGTCGTAGGCAATTCCGGCGGCGGCATGGTCAGCTGGCCAAGCTCTCGTTTCTACGCAGAGAGGAGCGAGAGGGAAGGAGAGGAGAGGAGAGGAGAGGCCGAGTTCCGCGGGAGAGCAACCGCAAAAGAAGACAGAACCGGACGACTATCTTGGGCTAAGGACCAAGGACACGGTGGAACGTGGCGTAGACGGCCACCCATACCGATCCATCCGTGGACCAGGTTATATTCCCACGTATGGCGCCCCGGGCAGCGGGGCTCCAGCGAAACTCCTGAGACCCAAATTAAAGCCGTTGGTTACCTCCTACGAACTGTCCGTGGCCGGTCCACCGGTGCTGCATAATTAAAGGAACGTCATGTAATTGGACGTGAGCGCTCCCTTTGTTCGTCCTTCCTATCGAGGACTCGCGTAAACTACTCCCGCGCTTTCTGCCTCGCTCGCTGCACCATCGGCTGATAAGCGTCCATTCGTTGTCCATCGCTAGACCTATTTTGCCAGTCGCGCGCGATACTTCGTACGTTGGGCAAATGCTTTTCACCAAGATGAACGAAGATACGGGTGAGCGCCATTGGAGTATTTGTCAATGGTGGCAGTATCGACCTGGACGTGTGCCTCAGTGGAATGAACATAATTGATGCGAATTGAAGCGATATGATAAAGATAGGAAAGTATATATAATTATATACTGTTTAAATAAAGATTGGCAGTGAGTTTCGTAAAAGCAACTGCAGATTTTGAGCAACTGTAAGATTGTAATGTCTAGAACAATTTGAGTCCTCTTTTACCCTTTTGTAGTTCTAATGGTAACGTATAATATTGATATAATATAATTTAAAATTAGCAATATTTTAATAGTATGTATATAAGTAATATATAACGCGAAATTTTGTGTTTCAATTATAAATTTTTAATGAAAATGATTGAAAATAGTGGTAGATACGAGTAAATTGTTTGTTAATGTACGATATTAATACATTTTAATTTTAAATTAGTAATTCTTTAATAATATATAATGTTGAAGACAATAATATATAGTATTGTTATATAATAAATTATAATATAATGCTTAAGATACTTATTTTATATTTTTTTGATGTTAGTATACAGTGCACTTCTGCTTAGAAGCTAGAATTATATCAAGTAGCTCAAGTTAGTGACAGATCCCAAAGTAGGTTTTATTAAATCAACGTTTTTAATCTTCTGAATAAAGTATTTTTTGGTATTTCATATATTCGGACATGATATTATGTGGTTTTAGTGGCTGTGGGGTATTTTCGGATTTTCTTGTTTAGGATTGTGTTTCCTTCCTTTGTTCATTCTTACTGGTGGATATTTGTAATATCAATGTTTATGATACATTTACAATTTAATTATGTTTTGTTTTATGTTTCTTTTCTATTATAATTCAGTCATAAGCATAGTGTATCTGTTACTTTTTATATTAAGGGTATATTAATGGAAGTTAATTTCGGTTTCTTTTATTAGATATCAACACTACATGTTGAATGTTAGAATTATAAATGTTTATAATGTACTTGTAACATAGTTATAAATTTCTGCGACGTATATCATTTTATATTCTATCTTTATCATAGTTATTTTTGTAGTTGTTGTTACTGTTGCTGTCGATGTCGATATTAATGATGTTGAGCTTGTTGGGGATGTTGAAAATGTTGAGAACGTTGAGAATGTCGAGGATGTTAATGCTGATGTTGTTGTTGCCTCGTTTGTCGAGGATGTCGTGGAATTTGAGGTTGTGCTGTTGCTGCTACCGTTGATATCTATATCGATATTGATGATGTTCATATTGATATTGAAATATTTATTTATATCGATATCGTTGTCGATGTCGATGTTGCTGTCGATGTGCTGTTGTTGCTGTTGATGTCAATGCTGCTCGATGACGATATCGATGACGATGTCGATGTCGGTATTGATAATATTATGGATGTTGATGTCGATATTGATGATTTTGAGGGTATTGCAGATATTGACGATATTGGTGTCGATGTCGATGTTAATGTTGCCATCGATATTGATGTTGTTGTTGATATCGATGTCATCGTCGATGATGATGTTGATATTGCAATTTATATTGATATTAATATGGATATCGATATCGACGTTACTATTGCTGTCGATATTGATGATATAGAAGATGTTGAGGATGTTGATGTTGCTGTTGTTGTTGCTGTCGATGTCGTTCTCGATATTAATGATGTTGAGGATGTTGATATTGATACTGATATCGATGGTGATGTCGATGTTGATGTCGATGTCGATTTCGATATTGATGATGTTGAGGATGTTGGTATTGACGTTTATATTCACATTTATATTAATATTCATATCGATGTTGCTTTTGCTGTTGATATCAATGTCGATATTGATGATGTTGAGGATGTTGATAGTGATATTGCTATTGACATTGATATCTATGCCGATGTCGATGTTGATGTCGATATTGATGATGATGAGGATATTGGTATTGATGTATATATTCACATTGATATTCATATCGATATCGATGTCGATGTTAATGTTGCTGTCGATGTTGAAGTCGACGTCGATATTGATGTTGTTGAGGATGTTGATATTAATATTTATATTCACATTGATATTAATATCGATATCGATGTTGTCGTCGATTTCTCTGTTGCTGTTGCTGTTCATGTTGATGTTAATGTCGTTGGCGATGTCGACGGCGATGTTAGTATTAATATTATTGGGAACATTTATGTCGATATTGTTGATGTTGAGGATGTAGGTATTGATATTTATGTTCACAATTGATAGTGATATAAATATCGATGTCGACGTCGATGTCGCTGTTGCTATCGATGTCAAAATCTTTGCGATCACTATTGCTGCCGATGTCTATATTGATGATGTTGAGAATGTTGCAACCGTTGAGAATGTCAAGGATATTTATGTTCTTGTTGATGTTCCGTCGGATTTCGAGGAAGTCGCTTATGACGAGGATGTCGCAAATGTCGCGGATGTCGAGGATGTCGAGGATGTCGAGGATGTCGAGGATGTCGAGGATGTCGGTGATGTCGGGGATGTCGGGGATGTCGGGGATGTCGCGGATGTCGAGGATGTCGCGGATGTCGAGGATGTCGAGGATGTCGAGGATGTCGGGGATGTCGCGGATGTCGGGGATGTCGAGGATGTCGCGGATGTCGAGGATGTCGAGGATGTCCGGATGTCGAGGATGTCCGGATGTCGAGGATGTCGCGGATGTCGCGGATGTCGGGGATGTCGAGGATGTCGAGGATGTCGCGGATGTCGCGGATGTCGAGGATGTCGAGGATGTCGAGGATGTCGAGGATGTCGAGGATGTCGAGGATGTCGCGGATGTCGAGGATGTCGGGGATGTCGGGGATGTCGGGGATGTCGAGGATGTCGAGGATGTCGCGGATGTCGCGGATGTCGAGGATGTCGGGGATGTCGAGGATGTCGAGGATGTCGCGGATGTCGAGGATGTCGAGGATGTCCGGATGTCGAGGATGTCGCGGATGTCGAGGATGTCGCGGATGTCGGGGATGTCGGGGATGTCGAGGATGTCGAGGATGTCGCGGATGTCGCGGATGTCGAGGATGTCGGGGATGTCGAGGATGTCGAGGATGTCCGGATGTCGAGGATGTCGCGGATGTCGAGGATGTCGCGGATGTCGAGGATGTCGAGGATGTCCGGATGTCGAGGATGTCGCGGATGTCGGGGATGTCGGGGATGTCGAGGATGTCGAGGATGTCGCGGATGTCGAGGATGTCGAGGATGTCGAGGATGTCGCGGATGTCGCGGATGTCGGGGATGTCGGGGATGTCGAGGATGTCGCGGATGTCGAGGATGTCGAGGATGTCGCGGTGTCGAGGATGTCGGGGATGTCGAGGATGTCGCGGATGTCGAGGATGTCGGGGATGTCGAGGATGTCGAGGATGTCGCGGATGTCGAGGATGTCGAGGATGTCGAGGATGTCGAGGATGTCGCGGATGTCGAGGATGTCGGGGATGTCGAGGATGTCGGGGATGTCGAGGATGTCGAGGATGTCGAGGATGTCGCGGATGTCGAGGATGTCGAGGATGTCGCGGATGTCGAGGATGTCGCGGATGTCGGGGATGTCGAGGATGTCGAGGATGTCGCGGATGTCGAGGATGTCGAGGATGTCGAGGATGTCGAGGATGTCGAGGATGTCGCGGATGTCGCGGTTGTCGGGGATGTCGGGGATGTCGAGGATGTCGAGGATGTCGCGGATGTCGAGGATGTCGCGGATGTCGAGGATGTCGGGGATGTCGAGGATGTCGCGAATGTCGAGGATGTCGCGGATGTCGAGGATGTCGAGGATGTCGAGGGTGTCGAGGATTTCTAGAATGTCGTGGATTTCTTGGATGTCAAGAATATTGTTGTTGATGTTATTGTTATTATTATTGCTATTGTTCTATGTATTTTCATCATTAAACATCTTTATTGATGTATTGCGGAAAGATAGTTTTCACTTATCGTACTAGGTATTAATGCTTTTATTACAAAAGTAATATCGTAGACATTTGCTATCTAGTTGAAGGCCGTATCGTGTGTCCATTATTCCGCGATTTTATGAAAAGTTATCAGAATAAGGTTAAGTTACTTCTTAGAGTACATATTTTCCTTTTTATGGGCATAAATATTCCTTTCTTATACGTATCTCTAATCTATTAAAAATAGTGGACAACTCTGATTTTTCAATTTGTTTCCATTACACACATTAGTACCTTAAAAAATGTTATGATCTAAAATGTATTCACGTGTTTGCCTTTTAATATATTATAAGATAATTTTTAATTTTTCTTTTGGCTTCTTTCACAGAAAAATGTCCCAAATTTCGAATTTCAGCATTAATTTAAACCTTGTTCAATACACTAATCAGACGAATATTTCTCTTGCAATATATATGAAAATAAATTTTGTATATCTTTTTATTTACATAATCGGCTAACGAATTAATTAATTCATTTATTAATTTCGTTTTCCGCGGGCTAGTAGTCTTTACGTTTCTGTAAATTGTCAATTATTATTATAAACTTTCACAAATACGTTCTCTTCCATTTCATTGACCACTATTTAAACGACAAGTTACTGTTTGAATTTTAAATTCCACTGCTTGTAACCCAAGATATAACAACTTGATGATGTCAATATTGCCTGACTATCCCGATAAATATACGCGTGTAACGATTCATAAAATCGCGAAACAATGGGCAAGCAGTACGACCTCGAGCTGTAATATGTGTCACACGTCTATTATACTAATCTACTTCTGCAACAGAAGTGCTAGTATATAGAGGGAAAAGCAAAACTACATTTGGTCGATATTAGCCCACTACTCGTTACATATTTATCGTCGATATCAAATAAAATAGACTTTATCTAAACGAAGAAGTAGCGACAAGTATCATGAGTTTCATTAACCCAAAACACAGACGGAATAACCATTTAAAAATTTTTAATTAAAAATTCTATATTCAGAATTTTCGCCCTGATTACTCGACTCCTCGAATTTTCTTTTAATATTCGTCTTATGAATTTTACAATATTTTCTCTTATTACATCTTTCTTACAGTTCTTTCCTCTCCATTTTTTCATTAAACCAAATCATACCACAGATTGAATAACCATCTTAAAATTTCTAATTAAAAATTCTATATTCAGAATTTTCACCCTGGTTTCTTAACTCTTCGAAGATTCTTCTAATATTCGTATTATAAATTTTCCAATATTTTCTATTATTCCATCTTTCTTATAGTTCTGCCCCCTTCATTCTTTCATTAATCCAAACCATACCACAGCTTGAATAACCATTTAAAAATTTTTAATTTAAAACTCTATATTCAGAATTTTCCAATATTTTCTATTATTCCATTTTTCTTACAGTTCTGCCCCCTTCATTTCTTCATTAAATCAAGTCATACCACAGCTTGAATAACCATTTTAAAATTTCTAATTAAAAATTCTATATTCAGGATTTTCGCCATGATTACTCGACTCCTCGAATTTTCTTTTAATATTCGTCTTATGAATTTTCCAATATTTTCTCTTATTCCATCTTTCTTACAGTTCTGCCCCCTTCATTCTTTCATTAACCCAAAGCATACCACAGCTTGAATAACCATTTAAAAATTTCTAATTAAAAATTCTATATTCAGAATTTTCCAATATTTTCTATTATTCCATTTTTCTTACAGTTCTGCCCCCTTCATTTCTTCATTAAACCAAGTCATACCAAAGATTGAATAACCATTTTTAAATTTCTAATTAAGAATTCTATATTCAAAATTTTCCAATATTTTCTATTATTCCATTTTTCTTACAGTTCTTCCCGCTCCACTTTTTCATTAAACCAAGTCATATCACAGGTTGAATAACCATTTTAAAATTTCTAATTAAAAATTCTATATTCAGAATTTTCCAATTTTTCCTATTATTCCATTCTTCTTACAGTTTTTCTCTCTTCATTTTGTCATGAATCCTACAGGTACTTTGACCAGTCATGACAGAGCTTTAGTGTTAATTCCAGCATTATTCGAGCACCCTAATATAGGACGTTGAACCACAACGAGAATGCAATTTTACATGCTACTTATAATGAAAAGCTCATATAACGTATCGTTAGAAAAGACACGGGATCCTTAAATTTCGAAAATGTTAACCTAAACTATTAATTTCTAAATTCTAAATAGGATACTTATTACACAAATACGATTATAAAGCACTGATATTATTATTGATTACAAAATAGCTAACAATTAATTAAGAAGTTAATAATTATAATTGTTCTACTCTGTATTATTTCTCTCTATCTCTCTAATATTATTTTTCTCGCTCTAACAATATGTATCTCTACCAATCCCTCTCCTCTCTGTTTCCACAATGGATTCCTCACAACAGTCACCGAACATTCCGACCATAAGATCGTTCTTCGAAACAAATATCCTACTACATATCAACACTCACTCCATCGCTTGATTCATTCACACTCATACCTCGTCATCTCTCACTCGTGAAACCAATTCCGCAGATTCTTGCTCTAATAAATGAACTTTCATGCGGAAGAAAGTGAGTGGTTCTGTTATCCGAAAATTCCACTAGCCAGCCGCTCTTTTCCCCCGTTAGTTCGTATACAGAAGTCTGTATTGTATCGCGTGGAAGGAAACTAGATAAATATAGAAGGGACGCGAGTCACGCTCCTTTGAATAATTTTTACTGCCATTCTGCCATTCGGCCGCGTTTCTTCGGCCATAGTGCGAGCTTGCGGTCGCCGGCTGATTGGGCCGGTGATTAAAAAAGACGACCAAAGGCAGGCGAGAACATTCTACAAATCATAAAATGTGAAATATATCGTCGGAAGGCCAGTGAGCCGAGAATTCATTTAACGCTCGGGACTAGAAGGGAGAAAGCGGGAAAGGAATTTCTGTCGGTCGTGAAGGGGTTGCTGTTGAGGAAGATAGCACGGTGCAACGAGTAGTCCATTGTAAGTGAAGAAGGATCGCCTATTAGGTTTTTATTGCCCGCAAAAATCCTGCTCCAAATGGCTGGCGACCGGATCGTGAAACGAAATGGAGTCCGACAATGTTCTAAATTGTCGGGTGTAATAACGTGTATCGCGCTAAGCTGAATTACTATTGGATAGGATAGAAAAATTTCTTCGAGGATCTTATGGTACTGTTACCGTCACGGTTTCAGATATCAGGGAATTTTTGTTTTCAACGTTTCTCCGCTAATGCTACAAAAAGACACGAAATGATATTTTAATGGTC